AGATGGTCTTATTGAGTATAGCCTCGAGTGGCTGTTGTGTTGTGTGTGGTATTTTGGGGAACTCACTAAGCTTTATGCTTACCGTGTTATGTGTTATGTGTTTCAGGTAGTTCCGAGGATTGCGGCAAGGCACCGACATGATTGTACACACTGGCGAGAGATTGTTTTATGATTCTGGGATTTATGTTTTATTTATTGACATTTGAGACACGTGCGATTTTGAGAATGATGAAATGAGACATATTTTGTTTTAAAATGAGAAAAAAAAAATTTGAAAATTTTACGTCGTTACACAACATATGACAATTCTTAACATTGCCATTAAATATTTTATCACACCTGTAACTCCAGATAGTCCAAGCAAAAGTTGAGAGCACAACCAAAACAACCTTGCTCATGCAGCCAGGGGTACCAAAACTGGACGCGCAACTAAAGAGATCATGGAGATATCTGATATCCACTGGAACATGATTCCACCAGTTGTTGATGGTTGCACGCACCTCCCGAGCGACTAAACAATTCAGAATGAGGTGGGACTCTGTCTCTAACAAAATGTTTCAAAGGGACATGGGAACCGATAAATACCAAATTTTCTCAAGATTACTACGAGTAGGCAGTCTTTCAAGAATAGATCTCCACACAAATATATTAACTTTACCAGGCAAGATTTTGTTCCAAGGAGTACTGTCCTCAAGGCATCCCAGAAGATGGTTATCGATAATTTTCCTACACGATGCTACAGTAGAACATTTCACATTTCATAATATATTTTGTTAATATATTATATATTATATTGAAATCTGAAGAGTCCTGGGGTTTTTAATGTTTGTGGTATTTAAAAATATTCCTCTATTATTAAATATTAGGCGAATGGTTGTGCGTTGCATAGTAAAAAAAACTATAATGTCAGACTGTTAAATATTATAACAATTAAAAAATACGAGCGATAAGCACATCTTCTCGATCGGCGAATAATTCTTCTTAGGGAAGTTAGATTGGACATGTAATTTAGAGTTGATTATATTTTCAACTCAAATATAAGTATTAATTATTATTATATTTTTTTTATTAGAAAAACAATAATGTTTCCACTAATGAAATTATAACCATATTTAAACAAATTAAATAGGTTTACATTGTGGAAGTTATATGACACTAAAAATTTCACCAATGAAATAAACCTTACAATTAAACTATCAATTAAATATCATTATAAAAAAAATCATCGTTCATTTATCAAAAAAAATCATCTTCATTTATACCAAATAAGATTTAATGAAAAAGTATGTGGGTAACTGAGATATCATCTTTTTATTTTATATTAATTTAAAAGGCTTTTTAGTATATGTTATATGATATTTTATTCAAATTTAAATATTAAATATATATTTTTTAGAAAAGCAACACCAATACCTTATGTTAGTTCATACTAAATTTACAAAAAAAAAATATAAGTAACATATATTTTAATTGTTATATTAGCCTTTTTAATAAACTTAAAACAATACCTTTTAATATAAAATATAGTTCTTAGATTTAGTGGAAATGGAATTTCTAAAACTTTAGATTATGATTAATTTGTAAAATCTCATTTGTGCTATGTATTTTACAAACATGCAAAAAAGAATTTGATATGTATAATAATGTTTTTATGATTTTTCATTTAGTAATTAACATCTTAGAAAACATATTTATATTTATAATACTATTAATTCTTTGTTTCTTTATGTACAGTTCTTTTATCTTTTTGGTTGAATTTTTTATGAGAATTTAAATTGATTTTTATTTTTTATGCCTACAAATGTTCCTACCTAATAAAATTATGACAAGTGTTATTATTCTATATTTTTTTTAACTAACTTATTAAGGCTATATTAGGAATATATCAAATAAAATTAAATTGAATGATGATTTGTTATAATTTTAATAGGTAGGTATAATTATAGAAATAAAATATAGGAGTTAATTTAATTTCTAGTTTTTTATTTTTATTTTTTTTTTATTCTACACCTGTTTAAAAGATTAACTCCAATTAATTATGTTCGGTGATTGTTTCGTTTTCCTGTTTTTTTGTCGGATTTGGTTTTGGGTCTTCTATCACACGTGTAAGTTATTACGTTGTTTTACCCCCAACGCTTCCATATTCCTCCATCTTCTCTCTCTCACCAGAACACGAAGAACCTTCATACAACCTTCTTCTACCTCTGCTCTCTCCACCGCCGACGACTGCCTCGCCCACTAGAGGTCACCGTCGAAGCCCTAGAAACAACCTGCTTCGTCTCTGGAAACGCTAGACGACCACCACCGCAGCCTCCACAGCTCGCTATGGAGATTCCTCTGTTGGTGGTTTCCACCAGATGCTTCCATTTGCTAACGTAGGACCAAGGTACCTCTTACTTCGTTCTATCTTTATTTCCCGTCCTTTTTTCTAGATCGGTACTGATTATGAATTATCTTTACTGAATTGTCGGTGCTATAGCTTGCACCAACGATTATCTGGTGTACATCGTAAGAGGTTTGGGTTTATTTCCAGCCCCTGTTCTTTTTTTTTTGTTCGTTTCCAAGCTTTTGGTTCTTCATTTCGTTGTCTCTCCGTTAATTTGAACAGAATTTTTGAAGGTTTCTCTTCAATTGATGGAAACTCGGTCCCATGCCACACACCTTCTCGCCACTTTGTTAATGATCGTCGCCTCTCACAAGCATGCCTCCAGTTCAGATTGTAAATCAGGTATGTCTATCTCTACTTTCTCTCTTCGATTCCTATTTCAGTTGCTTGATTTTAAATCATCTTTATTGTAAGCTGAAATGAGTTTGGATCGGTAGGATTATTATTACAAGATTTTGAAGAAAGTGAAGACGCATACCACCTGTTTGATAAAATGTCTATTTGAAATCTGGGAAACAGTTTTATTTAGATATAAAACCAGTTTTACATAATAACCAGACCAACAATAATTGCCTATTCTTTAGGAAATTTGGTATGATTCATTCATTTAATGCTTTGCCAGGCTTAATAAGATGTTAGTTGCTGCCTATTTTAGGATGGCAAAAGCCCATTATATTTTATCTTTTGATGGTCATTAGAGGAAATTTCTTAAATTTGAGTTGATTTTTAAAATTTTAAGAAAATATATCATATTTGATTTTCTGTATTCTTTTATGGTATTAAAAGTTACCAGTAAGTTGTAACAAATGTTTGCTATTATTAATATTCATGTTGTCATCCTGGATGACTCAATTGGAATGCACTTCATTATCCAACTATGTCATTTTGCATCGATCTGCATGACGTAAAATTCAAGGAAGAGTATTTCCAAATTTATTTGTTAAATAATATCTCAATTGTAACACTCTAAAAAATAATTCACAATTAATTAGATTTTATAAAACTGATTCGTAAAGACTGACAGAACTTTTGATCAAACTTTTGAAATCAACTTACGGAAAAAATAATCTTTATAGATTATTGAGATCATATATTGCTATATTTCTTTCCCTGATGTAGAAATACATGTATCACCGTTTTTTCTCAATTTTCTATAATAATTCGTTATATAAATATAAATACAGAATAATATAATCATTTAAGTAGGAACGAATGAACAATTAGATAAAAGCCAACTTGGTCATTTTTGTTTGAACAATGATCAAAATAGTCACGGTACTTTGAAATATAACAAACAAAAACTTCCAAATTTGCAAAAATCAGTTAAACACACATACACCTCATTTTATAATAACACATTATATAACAATCATTATAACTTTTTTTGCATCTACTTAAAAGAAAGTCTCATGATTTGTATTTTCCATAAATCCTGTTTTTATCACATGATGTCCTTCCGATGTAAGTGCTACCAAACGTTTGAATTTTGAATATACCATATCGACATTACTAAAAGCTTCATTTTGTTAGGCAGGTAACCCGTTTTGTATATTTTTCAGGTTTTTATGCATTTTAAGTCCAACTGGTTTGTTAATGGAAAACCAAGTACATATTATTTGCCAGGGGCATTTAAAGATAGCAGGATGTCAAAAATAACTTAGAAAAAAACTAAACGAAACTACTCATAAAATTATTTGAAATTTCTTATTTTTGCGCAACAGTTGATCCCTGTTGCTCAATCAGGTGATTTCTATTCAACTTCTGAGTTTACAGCACCGAATAAGGTATTTTCTTTTTTAAACTTTATTTTAAATTGATTATTTCATACGTTTCTAATTCTTATTTTCACAAATTTGATATATTTGTATCAATATTAATACAAAGTATGTAGCTATTTTCTGTCTTTCGCAGCCAGAAGGTCACACTGTCGACTATAATGTGATACATACTGTTGTTTCGTTGAAACTTTAGGCTCTTCACTTATGGAATATCTTCTTCGACGATACCACATGATAAAAGAAAATTCGGTCACAAGAACTTTTGATTTGGCTGCAATCAAGTATTAGGGAACAACTTTCATAAATTTCCAGGTAGTAAATATAACTATATATTGAGTTTATTTGTTATATTTCTTTTTTATTTTCTTCAGCCAAAAATAGCCACATATTTTTTATTGATTTGTTTATTATGGTATCATACTTTCTTTTCATCATGTTCCACCAGTGTACTTTCAAAAAACTACCCAATTTCTACATTCTCTACTAGAAATTGTGTTCATCTTACACCTGTAAAGGATATGATTGTGTATTCTGGTGGATGTCTATGCATTTTTTTTAGATTAAATGTAATTCATTTTGAGTGGTTGTTTCTGTATATGATCTTCTGTATGCGGACTGTATGTTGCTATGTGTTTCTTTAATGTCTGTCTGTTTGCGATCGTCTATGTATGTGACTGTGTTTTACCGACTTTATCTATATGATTGTCTAATTGAAATCTGACCCCCGCAAAGTGGGGGTACTTCACTAGTTAACATAAATGGGTTCAAAGTACAAATAATTACATAATTTTGGGATGTAGGTAATTAAAGCTTATGGCGCACCTTTATTTTGAAGGTGTTTACACAAATTATATATATATTCATTCAGTAATTACAACTTGATTAGAGAAACAACTTGAAAGAGAAATACATATGATACTTGATTAAAGAAACAATTTGAATGAGACATACATATGATCCAAGATACATAAGATAAATGTGGTGGCACCTTTATTTTGAGCAATACACAACTCAATTAATTTTGCAATAGGATTTGATGGGGCACTCGGATTTCATCCCTTCACTGGTGAGTAGATAATGGAGGTACTTGTAGTGATCAAAATCCTTAAACCGTGGTGGGTGGTCTTCATCAATGAGTTTTTGTGGTATCTGTATGTTCAGACCCCTAATAAAAGTAAATTGCCCCAGCGAATATCGCTCTTGGTTTCCCTGCATGATAACCCTATGACACGGTGCATGAATTCTTCCATTTGACCATGCCTAAGTGAATGAAAATACCTTAAATGTCACATATATACAATATATAACATTGATGAATAGTTAATCAACATATTGCTACCTACCATGCAAACATCGCCTGCCATGACTATGAATGATGAAGGTGAAGGATCAACTTCAATCCACTGTCCTTCCTTAGTCTTTATCTGCAGACCCTTTACTTGTTTGTCATGAAGAATTGTCATAAAACTAATGTCAGTGTGAGGAAGCATGCCTGGAGGATTTCCCCCATCCCCTTGAGGACATAAGTACTTCATGAATCGAAGATTTTGAACTGAGGACCCAAGGAGCGTCTCACATTGTTCTTCTATTCCATAGCTTTTTGCTACCATCCGCATCACTATCTGATATAGTTCTGCTACAGCTTTGGAGAACATCAAAGCACTTTTACTGAAAAATCGGTGTTTAATCAAAGAATTATAATTACTAGATGTAATTGAATTTAAGACGTAAAATAAGAAACCATACCCAAAATTTTCATTTCCAGAAGGCCACATGAGTTTTGTGAAGAATTCAACCCCTTCTGTAGTTGTTGCGTTCTCAATGCCTATGCTTTCGTAAAGAGGCATGACGGGAGTTTTACCACTGTAAGCATGATATGGTGTATCTGAAGTGCTTAGGACTTTGACTTCGGTAGGAAGATCAAATACATCTTGTGATGCAAGGAAAATCGCATCCTCAAGTTCCTGAGGCACGCCGTTGTACGTGGCTATGAAAACCCCGTGTTCTTCAAGTGCATGCATAGCTTGACTGCATGTTGTGATCCATGAACTTGAGTTAGGGATTAGGTTTTTCAACGAAAAGTCGATAACAGATAGCTTCGGTGGTGTCATCTTTTCAAACCTTGGATATCTTTTACGATGTATTTTTCTGTCTTCGGACCTATTTTGTTTATATAGTTGGAAAACCGATTTTATGTATGTCCCATATTCCGTATATAAGATAATTTTATGCCTTTTCATTATTTGACAATACACGTTTTTCTTTGAGGAAACGGTACGCACAATTTAAGTTATGGATATTAATTAATGCACGTAATGATGCCTAGAAGAGATTATTTTTATAATTACTAAAAAAAGGTCATTATTATTTATTAAAACGAGATTTTTACCAAAAAAGTGAGATTACCAATTTTATATCCCAAACCACGATAGTTTCAATTTTAAATACAAAATGGTACTCTTGTAGACCCCAGCTATTATCCATTTTATATTGAAAAAAGATAGAAAACGAATCAAATCCATCATTAATTTACCAAATGGCCCTTATCGTCTTCCATCCTTTTTGTGATTTTTTTACAAAGAATATATATTAGAGTAAATTAAACGAAGGTTTAGGGTAATTTACGTATTTGGTACGTAACTTATTTTTTTAACTCGGAAGGTCCCTATTGTTTGTTTTTGTTACACGCTTGGCCCATGTCTTACCAAAAAATACTATTTTGCTCTTGATTTTTTAATTTATTTAAAAAAACACACCCCTAACCCCACCCCTCACCTTACCTTACCTACCCCACCATTTTTCCCTATTCAAATAATAGTCTTTTTAGGTAAGACAGGGACCAAACGCGTAATAAAAAAAACAGTAGGGACCAAACGTGTAACAAAAACAAACAATAAAGACCTTCTGAGTTAAAAAAATAAGTTAGGGGACAAACGCACAAATTACCCCAACGTCCTTTTGTATTTAAAATTGATAATGATTTAAGTGTTAGGTTTGGTATATTTTCTTGTAATATTTTTCACTTTTTAGTTGATGAAACAAATATCAAATATACACGTATAACTCCAAAAAATTCATCATCTTTAGGACACGAATTATCCATATCACAAATTACTAAATTTAAACTATGACAACCATAAGGAGTGTAGAATGCTCTATGATTGATATCTAACAATCGTTTTTGTACACCTTGTTTTTTCCTTTCAATTTTGATCCATTGTCATAACCTTAACACATATCATTATTTATATCTAGTTATCTTTAAAGCGTTTTAAGAGGTGAAGGCAGGTAAAAATAAAAAATCAATAATCTTTTATTAAAAAATGACATACATAACTTTTATAGGACAACATAGTAAACCACAAAACTAATATCAAATTTATTATTAACTATTTCAATTATGGTCTTTGTAACTTAATATACACACAATTTATTTTGTTACACTTTTTAATCATCTTTTCTGTGCATATTTCTATTCAAATGCAAGTATTAATTATATTGGAATATTTTTATGGGTGTTATATTGGAAAATCTATTCCAATACATAATTCATATTGGAAAATCATCATTACAAAATGACATATATAACCTTTAAACCTTAGTATAGTAAACTATAAAAATAATTCCAAATTTAGTATTAACTATTTTCATTAAAATCTTCGTAAGTTAATATATACACATAATTTATTTTGTAAATACTTGTGTATCTCCTGTTTTGTCCATGTTTATATTCAAATTTAAGTTTAAATAATATTGTAATATTTTTAAGGGAGTTGTATGGAAAAAGTATTCCAATGCTAAATTCATATCGGTATGTCACTGTAACGTCCCAAATATACCGAGTAAATTTTTTATTTTTAAATAAGTCAAAACCATTCATTGATTATCCCAAAGGGCGATCAGAGTATACGTATTGTCAAAACATCAGAGTAAAATCATAAACAATCGTTGCAGAATAAATCTCCATGGGGTGTAATGCGATCAAGTGGGGTTATTCCTTTTGAAACTAGAAGTACCTAAAAATGTTTAAACCACAAAACCGTAAGCATAAAACTTAGTGAGTTCCCTAAAATACCACTTACAACACACATATATAAATATAACAACATGTGGCTGTGTTGGGTATGTATCAACCCGCGAGTCCGTATCAACCCCGAGTCCATAGACTCCATGTAACAGCATGTAGTTGTGTCGGGTCCGTATCAACCCTGAGTCCATAATGTCTCTAAGCCTAAATTGGCTCTATGCATATAATATACAATCACACCAGTAATAGTCACATAAACAATCAAGCACATACAACCATATTAGCAAGTGTCACGAAGACAACTATCATCCTATAACTATAATCATGTGGGCCGACATTGGTGCCTTCAACCCACGAGTACAGTGAAGAGACTCGTCTGAATCACAAAGCCGACTAACACCCAGCTCAACGTCGTGCCAACCATAGCTAACAGTCCTCACTGCCAAAATATGGGTGTTAATCACTTCCTAACAATCCACACAATGTATACCTTAAGTCTTCTTTCTAAAAATAGAAATTTGACCAAAAGTCAGTCCATACCCAAAGTCAACGGCCAATGTTGACTTTAGTCAACTGTCATGTCGTGGCTTTCCTTGGCTACGTCGTGGCCCTTGTATGACCAAACTAACGGAAAATTCCTAGTCGTCACGTCGTGGTGAACTATGGCCACGCCGTGGGCGTTGCGTTCCTAGCAACTTAATAGATTAAGAAGCTTTCTTCGATTCCAAGAGCTCCAAAGATCAGATCTGGTCCATTCTATGGTCTAAATGGATAAAGTTTCCAACTTTATCCATTAAGACGCCGAAAGAGATCAAGATATGTAACCCAAGGTCCAAAATAAGCCAAATACCACCATGCCTTAACCATTAAGCCCTTAATTTGGAAAGACCTTAACCCAACCACTCCAGAAGGGTTTTCAAATATCAAATCTATCATAAAGATGAAAGCTTTATAGACTTGCATGCCAAAACATGTCTAGAATCCATTTTAGGTCATAATAAGCTAAAAATACTCAAAAACAGAAGCAATGATAAAAATTCCAACCAAATCCTAGATCTACAACATATGATGCTCTTAGGACTCAGGAGAGTCATAAAGTTGCCAACTTTATGAGTTCATTCCTTTCAGATTTGCTCAATGATGAAGAACATCAGACGATATTCTAAATCGAGCCACTTTAAGCCAAAAAGATTGATCCTTTGACACTTACAAAGGTCCAGATGTTGTGTAAGATGATGTTGGTGCTGCTTCCATGAAAGATTCGACAATAGAGCACCTTCTTCCCTTCTTCTCTTTTTCTCCAAGCTATCAAATTCTCCCAAAAGGCCACAAATATCCAAGGGTATGGGGCTAGGGTTTCTCTGAGGTATAAGGGGGTTAGAGGCTAGAAATGAACCCTAGAGATGGCTTAGTGTTAGGTCATAAATTGTGGTTTATACTTTGCTTTTCATAAATATTAGAGTTCTCGGTCTAGGACCGAAAACAACATGTTTTCGGTGGTGTTTGGACCGAAATCACAAGTGATTTCGGTTAAGCTTTTAGGTTTTAGGTTGGGCCTTTGTTATTTAGGTCTAGGTATATATAGCCTATTATTAGGAGTGTAAAGGTGTAGATGTATGATTCCAATCAGCCAAGAACGTGTTAGAGAGAAACAGAGATAAAACCAAGTGTAATCCGAATCTTATGTACCAGACTATCATTGAATATAGTGTGCATTGAAGATTCATCTTGTGTTCTTGTTCCATATCACGTTTTGCATCATTTTCACTTGATTGGGATTCCGCACCATCATAGTGAAATCGATTGATACATCACGATTTTGGGTTTTACAATTGGTATCAGAGCTATGGATTGGTATCAATCGGGTTATTGCAAAATATTAAGAGTTTCTTTAAGTTTTTCTTGGATTTCTTGGTGTTTTTTATTTATCTTTGACAAAGTTTTTGCCATTGTTCTTCGTGTTCTTCACTATTTTAGGGAGTTTGATCGAATTTGGTAACAAATAATTGAAATTTTCGTTTTTTGGCAAGCTTTCGGTGTTTTTGGTCAAAAATTTGCGAAATCTTGGCGGCAGACCTTGGTCTTCGGTCAAACCCTAGGAGATATCGGCGGCCAGCAACGATTTCGATTAGGGCGCATGTTCTCGTTCAGGTTCTCGGTTGTACCTCGTTCTCGGTCCGCAACCTCGCAGGTTCTCGGTGCGCCTTCAGTTTTCGGTTTGCTTTTCAGTCCACGTATTCGGTGTGAGATCTCGGTCAGCTCCACTTCTCGGTTTTCAAGATCTCAGTTAAGAGTATTCGATATCGCATTCTCGGATTTTCAAGATTTCGGTCAAGCGGCCTCGCATTCTCGGTCTAAAACTTAGTTTTCGATCCAAAAGCCACGTTTTCGATCAAATAACCTTGTTTTCGGTCCTAAAGCTTCGTATTCGGTCAAAAAGCCACGCATTTGGTCAAATACCCTCGGTTTTGGTCTTGAAGCTTCATTCTCGGTCTAGAAACTTTTTTCCTCGGTCAAGGTTATTCGCTGGACAAAAAGTTTGACTTTCGAGGTTTCAAGTCAAATGGAATTTTTATTGGCTACACAACCAGATCTATATTTTTTTTGGTAAATTACTCTTTTTAGTTAAATAATGAGTTCTTACAACAGTACCAAGGAGGTTAATGAAGCTTCATGCTCTCAGTCCTGTGAAGCTAAAATTAAACATTATCGCGATCAACATGATTTATTAATTAGGGAAATTGAAGACCTTAAATATGAAGGATACACTCTCAGAAAGGCCCAAAAACCCTTAAAAGAAAATTTAGAGGCCCAAACCAAAGATCTTAAAAGAATTAAGGAAGAATACAACACTAAATGTGAACACTATGATTATGCACAAGAAAAGATGGTCAGTCTAACTACCGAGCTTAACACATTGAAATTAAGTTTGAAAATGCAAACTTTAATTTTAAAAAGTTTGATGTGTCAAGTAAGAATGTTGAGAAAATGATTGAAAAACAATTAAAGTGGAAAGAAAAACAGGGTGAGGGCCTAGGTTATCACAGTGTTCCACCTCCATTCAATGATAATTATACTCCGCCTCTTGAAGCCAAAGAGATAGATACACCTGCTCAATATGGCCAGCCCCCTATATCAATTTTAGTTGAGGGTGAACAATCCAGCCCCACTAGAAGTGTTGAGGTGAACGATTCTGATACTTCTACCTCAAGT